ATTGTATACCTCGTGTAAGTACAATCATACAGTATTTGTCTTTTTGTGATTGATTTATTTCTTAAAATGTCTTCATGGATCATTCATGTTGTAGTATATGTCAGAATTTCCCCCCTTTTTATGCTAAATAATATTCCATGATACGTATATTCTATATTTTGTTTATCCATTTATCCATCAATGGACACATGGATTGCTTCCACATTTTGACTATTGTAAATAATGCTACTATAAACATGGGTGTACAAATATCCTTTCAAGACCCTGCTTTCAATTCTTTGGAGTATATACTCAGAGGTGGAATTGTTGAATCATATAGTAATCCTATTTTTAATTTTTTGAGAAACCACCATACTGTTTCCCATAGTGGCTATAACATTTTACACTCCTAACAGCAATGCACAAGTGTCCAATTTCTCCACATCTTTAACAACACTTGTTACTTATTGCCTGTTGTTTTTTGTTTTTGTTGTTGTAATAGCCATCATAATGAGTATGAAGTGGTATCTCATTGTGTTTTTGGTTTGTTCTTCCCTAATGGTTAATGATGCTGAATACCTTTTTATGTACTTATTGGCTATTTGTATATTTTCTTTGGAGGAATGTCTGTTCATGTCCTTTGCTCATTTTTACATTGGGTTGTTTGTTTTTGCTGTTGAGTTACAGGAGCTTTATTGGTCTCCTGGATATTAATCACTTATTAGATATGTGATTTACAAATATTTTCTCCCATTCTGTGGATTGACTTTTTACTCTCTTGGTAGTTCTTTTGATGCACAAAAGTTTTTAATTTTGATGAAGTCCAATTTGTCTATATTTTGGTTTAAAGCCTGTGCCTTTGGTGTCATATCTAAGAAATCATTTCCAAATTCATGAAGCTTTCTCTCCATTTTCTTCTAAACAGTTTTAGCTCTTTATAGTTTTAGCTCTTATGTTTAGGTCTTTGATCTATTTTGAGTTCATTTTTGTATATGGTCTTAGGTAAGAGTTAAACCATATAATTTTGCATGTGGATATTGAGTTTTCCCAGAACCATTTGTTGAAAACATCATCTTTTCCCATAAAAGGCCTTAGCACACTTGTCAAAAGTCATTTGACTGTATATGTAAAGGTTTATTTCTGGGCTGTGCATTCTACTCTGTATCTATCTTTATGACAAGACTACACTATTTTGATTACTGTAGTTTTATCCTAAGGTTTGCAGTCAGAAAGTATTAGTCTTTCAATTTTGTTCTCCTTTTTCATGATTATTTTGACTATTCAGTACCCCTTTAGGTTTCATATGAATTTTAGGATGTATTGTTGTATTTATGAAAAATAATCATTGACATTTTAATGGGGATGGTGCTGAATCTGCATATTGGTTTAGGTAGTACTGCTATATTAATAATATTTTCTTCCAATCCATGAATATGATGTGTAATTTCATTTATTTATGTCTTTTTTAATTTCAGCAGTGTTGTGTAGTTACAAGTGTACGGGTCTTTCATCTCTTTAGTTAATTCCTAAGTATTTTATTTGCTTTTCATTTTTTATTTTTAAGCATATTTTATTGATTATGCTATTACAGTTGTCTTAATTTTCCCCTTTGCCTCCCTCTGCCTGGTTCCCCTCTTTCCTCCAACAATCTTCCCTTCTTAGTTCATGTCCATGAGTTATGCATGTAAGTTCTTTGGCTTCTCCATTTCCTATACTATTCTTAAACTCCCCCTGTCTATTCTGTACCTACCAATTATGCTTCTTAATCCCAGCACCTTTTCCCCTTTTCCCCCTCCCAGCTGATAACCCTCCAAATGATCTCCATATCTATGATTCTGTTCCTGTTCTGGTTGTTTGCTTAGTTTGTTTTTTTTTAGTTGTTGATAGTTGTGAGTTTGTTGTCATTTTAGTGTTCATAGTTTTGATGTTCTTTTTCCAAAATAAGTCCCTTTAACATTTCATATAATATGGGCTTAGTGATGATGAACTCCTTTAGCTTTACTTTGTCTGGGAAACACTTTATCTGTCCTTCAATTTTAAATGATAGCTTTGCTGGATAGAGTAATCTTGGATGTAGGTCCTTTCTTTTCATCACTTTGAATAATTCTTGCCAGTCCCCTCTTGCCTGCAAATTTTTTTTTTGAGAAATCAGCTGATAGTCATATAGGAGCTCCTTCATCTTTAGACGTTGACATTTTATTTATGATGCGTCTTGTGTTGACATCTTTGGGTCCAACTTGTTTGGGACTCTCTGTGTTTCCTGGACTTGTATGTTGATTTCCTTTGCCGAATTAGGCAAGTTTTCTTTCATTATTTTTTCAAATAAGTTCTCAGTTTCTTGCTCTTCCTCTTTTACTTCTGGTGTCCCTATGATTTGGATATTGGCCCTTTTGGAGATATCCCAGTCTTCTTAAACTCTCATTTTTTTTTTTGAATTCTTGTTTCTTCATTTTGTTCTCATTGAAGATTTATTTCTTCTTTATGTTCCAAATGATTGATTTGTATCCCAGCTTCCTGCCTTTTACTGTTGGTTTTTTGTGGATTTTTCTTTATTTCCCTTAGTAGAACATTAATTTCTTCCTTTATGCTTTTGCTCTATTTAATGAGATCTTTGAGCATTCTGACCACCAGTGTTTTGAACTCTGCATCTGCTAGGTTGGCTATCTCCACATGGCTTAGTTTTTTTTTTGGGGGGGGGGGGGCGGTTCTGTTTTGTTCTTTCATTTGGGTCATATTTCTGTCTCCTGAATTTTGGCAGCCTCCCTATGTCTGTGTACTATGTGGAACTGCTTTGATTCTGTTTTAGTGCACCTATTAAGTCAGAAGGGGCAGAGCCTAGGGTATTTGCCAGGGCGGGGCCATAGTGGCTCTTCGTCTGGGGGAGGGGTCAAAGGGGATAATGCCTCTGCTGGCTGACTTCTGGGGGCTTACCTGGCCCTCTCCCCATCTCCAATCACTTCTACTTCCCATGTGCAACTGGTGCTCCTTCAACTGCCGTCCTGGTTGTGGTTCCCAGAGTGAGTAGGTTTGTGTACCTTCCAAGCTCTCTGGCAGTGTCTTCCACTGACCCAATCCCCATTCTGTTTACAGCTAGAAGTTATGAAGCTTTATTTTTCTTGGCACTGAAGCCCTGGGCTGCATGATCTGCCCTGGGGCTGGGCTTGGTTGCTCACAAGGTGTCCCCCTGATTTTTATACACCAGACATGAATGTGGGGCTCCCTGTTTCACTGGTGGCCCCTGCCTCCCCACTTCTCTGACTCTCCATCCTGGCTCGCTGCCAGACAGAGTCCTTTCCACCCCAGCTCCCCATCTCTACCCCTCCTACCCATCTGGATGAACATAGCTTCTTTAAGTCATTGGTTGTCAGACTTCTGTACAGTTCTGGGTGTTTTTCTGGGTGATTTTCTGGCAGTTCAGGATGCTTTTCATTTTTAAGTTAGTTGTGTTCCTTTTTATGGTTGCGCAATGAGGCGAGGCGTGTCTACCTATGCCTCTATTTGACCTGAAGAAGCTGTATTTTATTCTTTTTGATGTTATAATTAGAATTGTTTTCTATTACTGTATAAAAATGCAACTGATCTTTATGTGTTGATTTTGTATTCTGCAACTTTGCCAAATTAATTAGTTCTAACAGGTTTGTGTGTGCAATCTTTATGGTTTTCTCTATATAAGAGTATATCATCTGCAAACAGACATAATTTTACTTCTTTCTTTCCAATTTGGGTACCTTTTTTTCTTGCTTAATGTTACGGCATTCTATCCTAGAAATGATAAGGATTTTAATGGGGAAAGGGGAGGTGAGAAATGGTTGGATTTGGGACATATTTCATAGGTATAACAAATGGAATTTGTTGGCTTGGATGTTGGTTGTGGGAAAGTAAGAGAAATTATGAATGACTTCTCAGTTTATGGACAGACAATGGGTAAATCACTGTGGTACCATTTGATTGGGTGGTATTAATGGAGGAAGGTGTGTTTCAGAGAGGATGAGAAAAATCTCTGTTTTGGATATTTAAAATTTGGCCATGGATGTGGATAATGTAGACATAGATAAGAGAATATGTTCAGAAGACAGACTTTTTGTGGCAAGCTCACATTTAGAAAAGGTGTGGAAGAAGAGGCATTAGAAAGGGAGGCAAAGAAGAAGCAATCCACAGGGTAGAAAAAGAATGAGGAGACTTCAGGGAAACAAGGAGAAAAAGTTTCAGGAAAGTGGCATTGATTAATTGTGTAACCACTTGGGGAAGGAAGAAGAGGACTAAGAAAAAACCTTTTACATGAGCAATGAAGCATTTGTTGATAATTGTCCACAGAGCATTTTTAGCAGAATGGGAAAGGTCTCCACCTGAAAGCAAGCAAATAAAAAATGCAAGTGGGTGATGCAAAGTGCTCTAAACAGATCTAAAATGCTGTGTGCTTAAAGCTGAAGTGTTGATATTACTGTTGTCACAGAGACAAAAAACAGTTAGGAGAACTAAAAGCCACTTAAAACCCCTGACTCTAGCCCATCATAGCCCCTTGATCTGTTCTAAAAGTTGCTGATAAAAACAGTTATTAGAGCCCTGGCCAGTGTGGGTAATCCTGTAACCAAAAGTGTGGATTTGTTCTCTCATACAGGCATGTTAAGATCCTCTGTCCAGGTTCACTAGAGAGGCTACAAATTTATGCTTCTCTCTCATATTACTGTTCCTCTCTCTCCCTTCCTTTCTCTCTAAAAACAATGAAAAAATGTCCTCAGGTGGGGATTAAAAATACAAAACAAAGCAGTCATTCCATTCAGAGCTAATCTAGGTTTCCTCCTTTTAGATGTAGTTCCTAACTGGGACTCTTACCCCTTCTTGAGGAGGAAGCCAGCACCAACACCCACACAAAGTTTCTATACGGCACAGATGGCTCACTGACCAAAAAGTTCCTTATTTTCTTGCTATTGGCTGTCAAGGTTCGTAAAATATAATTTGCTGTTTCACTTTTCCTTTAAACAAGCAAGTTGAATTACTTGGAGGAAGAAGGCAGGAGAGACAGGAGAGACTAAAGTCAAGGCATCTGAAAGAAACTTCAGGTAAGCATTTTTTCTTTGCTTTGTTAATTCATAATTGAGACTTATGTCTTGCTTATCACTTCATACATAGTCAGAAGAATAATTCTTGAAAAGTAAGTTATTTTTGTTTGATATAAATTTTTTCTACCATATACATAGTAGATTTTCTTTCTTAATAAAATATTAGGAAAGTACAAAAAAGTAAAAGGAAGCAAAAGCTAAGGATGAGATAGCCTCTATTGATATTCATGTGGGGGGATGGTATTTCTTTTACTTTTTTTGTGTATCACTGTGTATAATTTTAGTTAATACAAGAATAATTTGTGGGAAACTCAAAACTTCTAGAAATTTCTATCATCTACCTCAACCACATAAACTGTTGAGATGAGAATCTTCTTGAGAGTTTAAATTTATTAATGCTTTAAATAAATGGATTTGTTTTCAGTGCATTGGAGCTGAGAGATAGTGGGGCTTCAGAATGTTCTAAAGGTACCAAAATTTAGCCCAGCTCTGTTAGTATTCTGCCTCCCTACCAACCTGGGATCCTAGGGTGTACCCCATCATCTAAGCAACACCTTTTCTGGGAGAAAGCTGTTATGCTTTTGCAATGTAACTCATTGGTGCATGCCAGGACCATCTTGGGCGTTTTAAAAAATCTCATGTATATTCATTCCAGGCTCAGGGATTCCTCCTGCTTTTCTTGTTTGTCTTACACACCAGATATCTGAGGTGTGCTAGTCCCCCAAGGTTAAGCCCAGAATATGGAAGTCTACCAGGGGCTTGTCTTATGCAATTTTCCACTGAGCTCTGGTTAATGCAGCAGCCAAGCTGGATAATGCAGAGAAAGACAAACATTTGCCCAGGTTGCTTAGCTTTGCTATAGAACCTTAAGAAATTCCTGTCAGAACCTCATCACTGTCTCTATACTGTTCTCAGATTCTACCCACTGCCTTCTTTGAATTAGAGTTACTTATGTGAGGGTTTCATCCTTTTATTGGGTAAAGAATGCCTGAGGATGGAGTCCTCACAGAAAACCCAATACATGCTTTTCCTTTTTGTTTAACTCCTGGAGACAGCTTTAAACCAAACTTTCAGCACTCTTGACCGTCTGATCCTAGATTACTTTGTCCAAGATGGGTTTGCACAGTTGCCCGGGGCAGGGGGGACTCAGAGGGCAGATAATGTCAAGGTGACGTGAGCAAGGGCCAACCATGGAACACAAAGAAAACTCTGTACTGAGTTTTGCATCTGTCCTGTTTGTCAACCCTCTCACATTTTCTGTGTCTGTTTGTTGAGGCACCCTACTTTGCCTAGCAATTCTCTCAGCTCAGCCACTACTGTAAAGAATACAAAATCCTATGAAAAATAAAAGCAGAACTATTAAGTTCCACAAAAAATGGTCAGGTCAGGAAATGTTTCTGTTCCTATAAGAGAGAGCTACACTGCTTTGCTACTGACTATCTGATAATCTTTGAGCAAATTATTATTTCTAGACTACAGTTATGAAAGAGGGAAAATAATATCTCATAAATCACATGGTTGGTAAGAGGATTAAGTAAGCAATTGAATATTAAGCACTTTGTAATAAAAATATTAATCCCCTTTCCAGACTCACTAGATGAATGATGAAAACACTATAATAAAAATATTAATTTAAAGTAAAAAAAGAAAAGAAAACCAAGTACATGGGCTCCATTAAGAATAAATGGGAAGGGAAGGTGTAAATAAATTAATCAATGAGAATGGACTTTAGTTAACAGCTTATGTTTATCTCTGTTGAATCTATTAACCTCTTTATATTAACTGACCCAGGGAGAAAATGGTACCATCTTTGACAATATTTAATGGAAAATTTCTATTGGACTGATGACTTGGTGGCATTGTGGGTTCACCCCTTTGATGAAGAAAATAATGGGAGCCTGAGCAGTTGGAGCCAAACAATCCCAAAGTTGGAGGAGTCTTTAGGGAAAGCCAGGTCAGGCATGAAAACGTTTTGCATCTTTAGTGCTTCCAAGAGAGGTTTCAAAGAAGAGGGGAAACAGGGCTGAGGAAGAACAAGAAAGAAGAGAGGAGAGAAGAGGGGAGGGGAGAACAGACTAGGGAAGGAACAGGGAGAGGAAGAGAAGAGGGAGGGGGCGGAGGAGGTAGGAGGGGAGTCTATTTGCTCTGGAAGTTTAGAGATTACTTAAGCTGGGAAAATTAAAAGGAATCTAGTCCATGATTATTACCTCTACTGTACATTATAAAAACAAGGATTTATTATCAATAAAAAACCTATATTCCATATAAGTGTCATCCTGTGAGGCTGTAGGGATAGTATTTTACCTCGTTTGCACCTCTAGTACAGAAAACACGATTGTCTACAGAGTACTTGGAGGCATCAGAGATTCCTTAAGGTAAGTTGATTTCTTTTTATTTTGAGTTTCCCTTAACAACTTTGTTCCCTTATAAATTCTCTGGGAGATTTGAAAGTGGCTTCCTGTGTTAGCTGTAACAACACAAATATGTGTCAGGAACTTATTGGCACTGAGTCAGAAAGACAATCTGCAACCCTCAGAGATATAAATAGTGTTATTTCCTATAATGTTTAGAATAAAGCACCATTTTAGTTGCCTCTATGACTACCCCCTTACCTCTATGTAGTCCTGTCCCCAGTATTTAGGTTTGAATTTTAGAGACAGAAAGTTTGTGAAGAAAAATGCACTAACATACTTTTGTTGCAAAAAGACCATTGGGGATTTTTTCCCCCCAGAAAATATTTATTGTGAGACATAACTGAGGGGTTGGATAATAGTTTCATGAGCTCATTTATTGGTTATTTATTTGAGCACATTTTTATGTTACAGGTTGTGCTAGGGTCTGAGGGTTCAGTAGTGGCAAGTGAGACTCCATTCTTGCTGTCAGTGGGCTAACAGTGGTAGGTGTGTATAAACAGGAGTTAGTTGCTGCCTCATGGGGTAAATATGAGGACAGGAAGCCCACAAAGCTGCAGAAGCAGGTGGGCCAGCTGCCAGCCCAAACTAGAGGGGTCAGAGAAGGCTTTTTCTAGGAGGAGTGATATCTAAAAAGAAACCTGAGGCACTGGCCAGGTAGCTCAGTTGGTTAGAGTGTCATCCTGATACATCAAGATTGTAGATTCATTCCCCAGTCAGGGCACATACAAGAATCAACCAATGAATGCATAAATAAGTGGAGCAGCAAATTGATATTTCTCTCTCTTTCTCTAAAAATAAAAAAAAAATTTTTAAATGTAAAAAAAACCTGAGACAGACAGGTGATGAAGTGGCGCTCAGAGTGAACAACAAGAGAAAGCCAGTTGTATTTATGGCATTGAAATAAGTCCCGTGAGGCTGATATAGATTTTCCTGAGGGCAGTGGTGGGGAGAGAAGATGATTGATGGCAAGATCCAAATTGTAAAAAGCCTGGAGTTGAACTTAATTCTGAGGTGATGATGGGTTTTAAGCAGAAGAGTAAAGTAGTCAGAGATGCATTTTGGAAATGTCACTCTGGTCACCATGTAGAAATGGATTGAGAACAGCAGGAGTAGAAGCTGGGAGCCACTCAAGAGAGTGTGTCCTCTGTCATCCAAGTGAGAGATGACATCTGTACTAGGATAGCCCTGAGCTGGCCCCTGTAACAGAAAGAGAGGCTAGTGGAGACAGGTGGGTAATGAGGCCAGGTCTGCCTTAGAGGAGACACTGGGCAGCAGAATGGTCTGGGGGAAGTGGAAAGCTGGTGGTTTGCTTTTGCTCCTTGCCTTCTCCTCTTTAGGTTCAAATGCCAATTGCACCCAGGCTGCTGGCAGCTGCCCAGGGCATTTCCTGGTTTTCACATTTTTTCAGACATATGAAACATTCTCTCCTTATCTGATTTTTTTTTTTTTTACTATCTTTATGTGTATTTTATACCCAACACTCTAAAAAATTTTTAGACCTTTCTTCCCTTGACAACAGACAGGGTCGTGACCGAAATGATCATGTACCAGTTGCATGTGATGTGCCTGGCTCAGTGCATATGTGTAGGAGGCTTTTACCTGTGCTGCCTCCTCTGGTCCTATCAATAACACAAAGAGAGTGAATACTTGCTGATGCTCACACAGTTGGCAAGGGGTGGAGCCAGGATTTGTATCCTGTTTGGATTTACTCAACAAGTGTTTTCATGATATCACAATACCTCTGTGTCATTTAGGAAATATGTTTAATAAGCTACATTTATCAATAATTCCTTTGTTCTAATAAATGAATGTAATGGTGTAATATAAAATACCTAGGTAGGAGGGAAGAGAAAAAATTTTTATTTGAATAAGTGGGCTTTGGGGGAGCCCCCCAGTCATGTCAGTTAGTCATTTTAATTATGGATGGGGAAAGTCCTTTTGCTGACTCAATCCCTAGGAGATTATTAGAAGGAGATGGGTAATGGTCTCTGAGATAACACCTTCTGATCTTTTATCTTTCTTCTTCTGCCTTTGAATTTAGAAGACTTGGGAATCAGGACTCAAATGCAAATGATCTTTTGTGACCTTACTTAGATCAGAAATTGGGTTAATAAGAGATACCTTCAATTTTCCTTAATACACTAATGAAGTGCACTAGAAAAATGACAAAAATTTGTTGACATAGTTTTATAACATTAAATTCATAATCAGCATCAAAGGCTCATACATCCTGTTACTGAGGAAGAGCTGAGAAAAGTTATGAGAACCAGAGAGAAGACAGCACTTAATCAAAATAATGCTTAAAAAAATGAAGCTGTATCTTCAGGGAGCTCTCCTTACATGTTAAAATTTTTCTTTGCATTGTATGTGCATTTGTTTATTGTGGTGGCTGTATGTTAGCCATTAGAATGAACATTGAAGTAAGCTAGCTTTGAAGAATATTAGAGAATGAAACAAGGGGACTTAGCAAAGACAGAGGTGGGAAAGTGTTGCTGGACATAATGCTATTCGCCTCCCTCTTGGAGGCAGAGAGGCTCCCTTATGTGCTCAGATGCCAGCCTGCAGTTCCTGCTGTGTCCTTGGGGA